TATATCCAGCCAATATTTCAGTGCTTTTCTAGCCCGCACTGGTAAATTCTTGGGTTTCAGAGCAGGAAGGAACTGTTAGAGGTCATTTAGTTGGTGAACTTCACTTTCCAGATGAAGAAAAGTGAAAGAATCAGGGCTATTTAGCTTTAAAATTTTTCATTAATACCATTCATTCATTAAAAAAATATTTATAGAGTCCCTACCCTGTGTGAGTCCTGGTGTTATTAAGTATAAACACAGTGCCAGTACTTATGGTTTCACAGTTCATTGGGATAGGAAATTTGACAAATAGTTACCACACAGAGTGAAACCTTATATCATAAAGGCACATTCAGAGCACTTGAAGCCACACCTTTGATTATAGATGAAAAGTTGAAATAGGGGTTTGCTTATACAGAATGAGTAAGTATTTACAAGACAGGCTAGGGAGAGAAGGCATCCTGGACAGAGTAAACAGAAATCAAGAAAGAGCAGTCACCTTAGAAAATGCTGAGTATGTTGGTGTGGCTTTACAGCGATGAGTGGTGAGGAATGACTGAAGCTTCACTGTGGGGCGGTATTATTGGGGGACAGATCATGCACATTCAGTCAGGACAAAAGATATGGCTCTGTGAGTTGTGAAAATGTAGAAACAGTTCCAATCTGGTTAATAAATAGCTGCTGATCTGAGGTCCTTCCCACTGCCTTGTTGCACTCCCCACACCTCCTCATACCAGTGATTCAGAAATTAAAAAGTTGACACCCAACAGGAGGCCTTGAGGACCCCTAGCTTAAAGGCCAGTTAAATGGTGCTGATATTTAAGTTGTTTTTGAGCATCTGTCTTTTTGCTTGTGATTATTATTAAATTTTTTTGAGCATCTCTTCTCCTGTTTGCCCTAGTAGAGAAGGTAAACTTTATTCTTTAGGGTAGGATTTAAACATTCAAATGTTTCCAGGGATAAGGGAGGCTACACAGAAATGAGTGAAACAAATGGGTATAAAGAACAGAGAAAAGTGAGGACTGCAGTGAATTTGAGGCATTAAAATTAAGTTTAAAAGCCTCTGTGTCAATAAACACGAATAAATGTTTGCCAGTGTTCAAATTTTGCAGTATAAGAAATAGGGAGCCGGTGGTTTCTTTCTTTCTTTCTTTCTTTTCCTTCCTTCCTTCCTTCCTTCCTTCCTTCCTTCCTTCCTTCCTTCCTTCCTTCCTTCCTTCC